TGGGGTAGCGCTGCGGGGTAGCGCCTGGCCGGAGGGCCTCGGCGGGCGGGGTGGGGCGGGCGCTCAGGTGCGACCGGGCGGGGCGTCACCGAGCCCCGGCGGGCGACACCGCGACGGTGAGTGCTGCTCGGGGAGCCTCGCGGCAGGTCTCCCGGCTGTGACCGGGTCGGCCGCCCCCTCACCTGCTCGCACAGACACCCGGGTAGGTAGAAGTCAGCGCCGAACCCAGTTCCCGGAGACAAAGGGGAGCCTGGGAACGGTGCGGATACATGGCCTAGAAACGCGAGCGTCCCGGGACCTGAGTGCGCAGAGCGGGCACCTGGGCTCCTTCCCGTGACCTTGGGCCCCTCAGCCTCCTGCCTGCCTCGCTGGGAACATGGAGCCCGGTCTCAGGACCACGGCGAGCCGCGGGGGTCCGGCGTGTGAGCTGCCTGCGTGCTGGGCCTCCCAGCAGCCCGGGGACAGTCCGGAAGTCCCTGCTGTCCTAGTCGCAGAGTTTTGTTTTATCTGGAGGATCCGGTAGTCTTCTCTTCCAGGGGAACTGGCATGACATGTCCCCGGTTTATTCCTCCCGAGGTAACACTGGAGCCTCCTCCCTTCGTCCCTGCTTCTCGCTCCTGACTCCATCATATTGTGTGAGCAATGGGTGTTTGTTCAATAGGTAACAAGTTGATATGTCTCATGGAGTCCACAGAGCTGGGAAAATTGAAAAAGTCCCAATCCCAGTATGTGCCTTGAGCCCACGTTAGCTCATTCCTTCCTCTGTGAGCCCTCCGGTCTCCCAAGATTCCCTCACCCCAAAGTTTGACTCAAGGATAGTCACAAGTTGCTTGGCTTTTTAATGTTGGTGGAAACTTAATACCTCACCCCCCAATGGCCAGGCAGCTCAGCTCTGGAGTACAGAGAAGGCAGGGCGTCTCCTGGGTCTGCATCCTGACCCAAGGATGCATGTGAGGTTTTTGCCCCTTTTCCTGTGTGAATCGAGGATGGTATAGGACTGGTCCCTGGGATTGTGTGGGAGAAAGTGGATGAAAACTCACAAAATCCCTGCGGCTTGTGTCCAGAACAGTTTATACTCCTATCGCTGTGTCTCATCCTCCACTGTAACCCTGGTGGAATCTGGGTACAGCCCCAGGTTTGGTGGTCAGCATTAACTAGCATAGTTACCACAATTTTAATGTCCTCATCTGTGAAACGGGATGGTTGACATTGGCCTGGCTGATGTGTATGGCAGGGGTTAAATGAGATCGTTCGGGGAATTCCCTTAGCTTGGATCCACACTGAAGTCCAGGTTCTGGAATGATGATTCTCATCATGAAAACTTGGCCCTAGCTAAAAGGTAGAATTCTTGAGCATCAGAAGTTTGTGTTGGGCCTGTTAGGTGACTCATCAGGTAAAGGCACTTGCTACCAAGCCCGACAACCTGAGTTCTATCCCTGGGTCCCAGATGGTGGAAGGAGAGAACAAACCCCCAAGGATTTTCCTCCCATCTCCACATGAGCACTGTGGCAGGAGCATGTCCCCACCTCCTCTACACCAAATAAAATAAAATTAATTAATAAAAATTGAGGGAAAAAGTTGAATGTTTGTAGGACGCAGGCTAAGTGTCATGTGTCAAAGTGATAAAGGGCAGGTGTTGGAAGCAGTTCTGACAGCCTGAGTATTTGGACTCCCAGAGTCGTCAGGATTGTTCTGTGGCATTCTGTTCTCTCCCACTCTCCTGGGTTCATCCTTGCTGTTAACCTCAGTATCTGCCATCAGGGCCTGCAGTTAATAAATGACCTGGAGTTAACACTGCACACTCAGGTGTCCCGTTCTTATTGTAGGTCTGAAATCATTCACAATGGAGTCAAGCAGGCAGACACGGGTGTCTCGGCCTTACAAGATCAGCGAATCTTCCAAGGTCTGTGAACAGTCCCTCCCCACTCTTGAAAATGGTTCCAGGTGCCTCATTCTGATTGGTTTGGGGTTGGTGGTAGTCTCCTTAACTGTGGCCACATGTGGTGTTTCCGAGGTGCCTCTGTACAACTCCCTCCTTTCCACACATCAGCACAATCAGGACTGTGGTCCAGGACCAGAAGCATGGGATTTGCACCTTCATGTGTGGGCTTAGCAGCTCCAGCTTGGGTCTCTTGGAGATCCAGGCCTCTGATCTTACAGTGGGATTTACTCTGTTCCTGGTCTTGAGGCCCCAGGAGTCTCTTCCTTGCTTATGATTTGACTCTTTGGGACCTCAAGGGTGAACAGATGTGACCAGTCCATGTTATTGGACTAACCCTCAGGAAGCCAGAGGAGGAGCCCAAGAAGATTGAGCATTGCTCAGCTGGGTGTAGAAGTGCACATCTCGGGTCTGGAGAGATGGTTCAGTGGTTAAGAACACTGGTTGTTCTTGCAGAAGACCTGGGTTTGAATCCCAGCACCCACATGGCAGCTAACAACTGTCTGTAACTCCAGTCCCAGGGGATCCAACAGCCTCTTCTGTCTTCCAAGAGCATTGCACGACACGGGTGCACTTACCTACATGCAGGCAATATACTCATACACATAAAATAAAAATAATAAAATATTTTTAAAAAGAAATGCACATCTCTAATCCTAGCACTCCGGAGGCTGAGGCAAAGGAATTGCCATGAGTTTGAGGCCAGCCTGGGCTATACAATGAGTGCCAGGCCAGCCAGCCAGCCAGAGTCACATTGTAAGAGCCTCTCTCAAAAACAAAACAGGGCCAGTGAGATAGCTCAGCAGTCAGCCAAGCCTGACAACCTGAGTTTGAGTCCCAGAATTCTTAAGGTGGAAGAAGAGAACCAACTCTGACAAGTGGTCCGCTGACCTACTTCCACATGTACACTATGATGCACGTGCACCCCCATATATACACACATGCACCCCCATATATACACACATGCATATATACATACAAAATAAGTCAATAAATGTAACAAAAGTAACATTTATAAATAAACCACCAGATAGGGCTGAAGAGATGGCTCAGTGGTTAAAAGCACCAGCTGCTCTTGCAGATAACCCAGGTTCAGTTGCCAGCACCCATATGGTGGCTAACACCTGTCCAGGGGCTCCCTGCCCTCTTCTGGCCTTCACAGACCTTGAATGACATGTGGTACACTTACATATATGCAGGCAAAATGTACATATAAAATTAAAGTCTTAAAAAAAAAAGAAAGGGGGCTAGAGAGATGGCTCATGTTGAGAGTGCTTGTTGTTCCTGCAGAGGGCCCAAGTTTGGTTCCCAGCACCCATGTCAGGAGGCTCATGACCACCTGTAATTACAGCTCCGGGGGATCCAACTCTTCTGGCCTCCACAGATACCTACATTTATATGCACACTGTCCCCCACACAGATACACATAATTAAAATAATAAAAGTAGGGGCTGGCTGCTCTTGCAGAAGACCTGGATTCGATTCCCAGCACCCACATAGTGGCTAACAGTCGTTCATAGGGTCCAGTTCCAGGGGCTCCAGCACCCTCTTCTGACCTCGGCATGACATGCAGGCAAAACATCCACATAAAATAAAAATAACAAATAAAATATTTTAAATAATAAAAATCTTAGAAAGAAAAGAGAAATGAGGGTGGGGTGTGCCTCAGTTGGTAGTGTGGCGGGCCTAGCATGTGGGAGCCCCAGGTTTAATCCCCAACACTCAGGAGGTGGAGGCAGAAGAACCACAAGTTTAAGGTCATCCTCAGCTCTGTAGTAAGTACAAGGTTAGCCCAGGATGTGGGAGACCCTGACTCTAGAGGAAGGAAGGAAAAGACGTTGCCTGTTCCCACCAGGCATCTGGTTGAACCGAGATCTGGGGCAGGAGGGGGTACCTCCCACCAGCCACCCCTGCTCCCGCCCTCTGCTGTGGATCGGGGAACTCCTGTGCGAACCAGGCTCTGGCCACTACAGATGCTGACGGTGCCCTGCTCTCTTTAAACGTGTCCCTTGAGGAGATTAAATTTTGGCGTTGTGTTGAGTAGCATATGCTCAGTGAAGGCAATAGTGCCCCCAAGAGGGTTGAAAATTGTTCCTCAGGGGTTTGACTCTAATCGGGGAACTCCTGTGCGAACCAGGCTCTGGCCACTACAGATGCTGACGGTGCCCTGCTCTCTTTAAACGTGTCCCTTGAGGAGATTAAATTTTGGCGTTGTGTTGAGTAGCATATGCTCAGTGAAGGCAATAGTGCCCCCAAGAGGGTTGAAAATTGTTCCTCAGGGGTTTGTGGTGGTTGTTGTTTAATTTGTTTGATTTTTGTTTTGTTGTTTTGGTTTTTTGAGGCAGGGTCTCCGTGTAGCACCAGCTGGGTGGTCTGGGACTCTATGCAGACCAGGCTGGTCTCAAACTCAGAGATCCACCTACCTCTGCCTCCCCTTTGCTGAGATTAAAGGCAAGTGACAGCACCCCTAGCTATGTCATAGATTTTCATATCCTAGTAGTTTCATTCCTATGACATAAATGCATCAATCCATGAAATACTGTACTGTACTCACTAGCCTGTATCACTAGATTTGATAGAACTAAACCACCACTCTGAATGCATGTGTAAGACTTCTTCATTAAAATTATAATCTTGGAAAAACATCAATTCTTTTTTCTTTTTTTTTTTTCTGTCTTTTTT